ATGTAGAATTTACTTTGTATCATTTTAAATTTGTTTCTTAAATTTTGTTTACAACTAAAATGAAAGAAAGAAATGTCATATCAATATGACTACCCGATCCGTAACCAATATTTGTGAAACAAGCTTAAATTGAACGTAATTATCGATATTTTATCTTATAATGGAAATTTTGTTTGAAGCTACTTAATTTCTTTTGCTTTGATACTTAAATTATATTCGCGCTTCCAAGTACAGAATGCTACGTAGTACTTTAATTTTTTGTTCTTTTTATTACTCCAAGACTATTTATAATCTGTCTCACGTATCGAGATAATAAGTAAATTTTGTTGCTATTAGTCTATATAATAAATAGCAGTATATTCCAGTAAGTATACTCTCTTTCTTTTACAATATGATTAAATCAATTAAGTTAGTTTATTTGCGCATTCATTAATTTATATTTTTTCAGTCTGATGTTGGCAATGGATGTCTTGAAAAGTTTGTTGACAAGTTTATTTGGGTGGTTTTGAAATTTGTAATTATATTTTGTGTAGAATTTTTTAATTTCTTCTTTAACTGTAGGTATCTGTAAATCATTTTGGATAATTTCATTTAGTACGAACCATGGGACCCGTAATATATTACGTAGGGCTTTCGATTGAAATCTTGTCAGGATTTCGATATTGAAGTTAGAAGCAGCACCCCATAGTTGAATGCCATATGTACAGACTGGTTTATATATTGATTATATAGCAGCAGTTTGTTTTCAATTGACAGCTCCTATTTTGTTCCGATGAGCCAGTACATTTTCCTCCATTTGAACCCTTTTCCTCCCAAATAACACAAATTTTTTTTTAATTTTCATCCTCATATCTTTTAATGAAAAAATCGTATGAAAAATTTATCAAGCATCACATCTTATAGATTTTTACCTCCTCTTTCGAATGCCGTTGACAAAATTTACCTAAATTGTGAGCCGGAAACGTTATAGGCCGGTTTTCCGGAAAATTCACAAATTTTTCGCGTTTTTTTTCTAAAAAAAGTATATTTTGAAATGGAAAAAGTTTGCACACAACATTGAAAACACTGTTATCGGTGTTATAGATGTCTTTTCTTTCAAATGTCGTCGGATTTTTTCCGAAATTCAAAATGGCGAACACAAAATGGCGTTCGAAAGGAAAAAATTTTTTTTTTAAACTTGACGAATTTTTTTCTTCAAATCTATCAAGTTTAGTGAAAAATTTCTAAGAACAAAAATGTTTATAGTTAGTCAAGAAATACTCTCAAATTTTTTCAGATTTTTTTACAGCGAATTTGGAAATTTCGATTTTCCGATTTTCCACGAATTCGAAAATTAACTCGGAAAAATCTGAAAAAAATTGAGAGTACTCCTTGGTAAATTTTAAGACTCTTTTGTTATTGAGTCAATAGTTTTTAAGTAAAAAATTAATCAATTTTATACCTAGTATAAATTACATAAAAAAGAACTAAATGTAAACCAACGTTTTTTTTATCACGTCTTTTTGCCGACAAAACGTTTTTGTCGTTGCCCGACCCTTACCATGTGGAGGTAAACGTGATATAGAGTCTGTTTTATTTTTTATTTTTTTTACATTTTTTAAATTTGAAAAATTTTTTTTGTATAGTTTTTTAATTTTTATAATTTTTTAATATAATTTGAACAGTAATAAAACTCTTTATAAAAGTTAGTGTTTTCATTCAGCATGAGAGTCATTCCAACAAGTTTGACAAATGTATTGATTGCATTGATTGCAATACCAAAAACTTCGTTTACCACAATCGGATGAGCACTTTTTATGTACGGTAGTTTTGAGATAGACGTGATTTTTTAATTTAGTTTGTGATAGATAATTTTGTGCAATGTTCATTGCAATATCTTTGACAGTCGATTTTTCAGTCCCTTCTGGAGGCACGGCATTAAACAATATAATCACATTAGTAATAGATGATTCAATAATTCTTATAAATACTGAAAAAGTCCACTTCTTACTTTTCATGGATGGTGATGCTTTGCTACAATATTGGTCATGTACGAGTATATTCTTCTAAATGTAATTATGAGAGCCTACTGTCAAAAGTTAAAGAAAGAGAGCCCATAGTCTGAAAAGTTTTTGCAGTACTTTTTTCTTATATTATGAGAAATGACATATGTGAATAAATTAAAAATTATGAATGAATTGAATAGAATATAATGGTTCAAACCAGTCAATAATATTAAGAAATACAGTACCGGCCATTAATTTTGGATGGGGAATCCATTTTTTGCTCTGACTTCTCACGCGCATATCTTCTTCAATATTTGTCGGAAATTTTTTTTTAAAATATTATTGGAAAGTACTCCTTAAAAGCTTCCTTTTTGTGTTATTAAATATTTTTTTATGCCGTTTTTGAGACTGTGAGACCCTTAAGCAATTTTACAATTTTTACAATTTTTTGATTTTTGTTCAACCAGCTACAGTTTTTTTAGTAATAAAGTTGGAAAAAAACGGAAAGCAGATATGGAAAGTACTTGCGAAATGCCATATGCAAGTATTTTTCAAAAAAATTTTAAGTCATTTTGTTTTAAGTTATAATTAGAGAAAGCTATAGGTTTATTTCTCTAACATAACAATCGATCATGAGAACTCCGACGCTTGAGTACACGTAATGTTTGTTTACGTTTTCAACTCCTGTCTTTGGTTTCGAGGTACTAAAGGTGAAAATGCTCGATATGTTTATATCACACATAAGTTGAAAATGGGTTTCCAGCGGGTGAGGACATTGAGAGAAGAGCAATCTCAAATTCGAAATTTACGAAAATTAGGTGTTTCTTTCCATGCAATTGCACAAAAATTACGCGTCCCTTACTATCGAGTGTGCAAAGTGTTGTCGAAAAGATCAAGAAAACGTGAAACCAAACAAGACAAACTCAAAACTAGTGCTTTATCGAAAAAAGAAAAGCGTGCACAAGCTGTAGCTTTACGAAATGAAGATTTATCATATTCTGAAATTTCAAAAAAACTTGGGATGTCATATGGCTCAGTATACAGAGCATGTCAAAGATACCGAGATTTCAAAAATAATGCTGATCGCCCACGCAAAGGACAGCCTCGAAAAACGTCAAGCAAAGAAGACGAGTTCATTGTTGTATCGAGTAAACGTGATAGAAGAGTAACTGCTCCTGAAATAACAGCAAATATTAATGCATCGAAGAATAAACCAGTTAGTTTAACAACAGTGAAACGCCGCTTACACGAAGCAAACTTAAACGGACGCATTGCTGCTAAGAAGCCTCTCCTTCGACCGATTAATCGTAAAAAACGTCTTGCATGGGCAAAAGAACATGTAGATTGGACAATCGAAGATTGGAAAAAAGTTTTGTGGACAGACGAATCAAAATTCGAGTTATTTGGCAGCAAACGTCAACAGTACGTACGGCGTAGACCTGGCGAACGGTTTTCTAAACAGTGTCTTATACCGACAGTCAAGCACGGTGGAGGAAGTATTATGGTGTGGGGTTGTTTTGCGTGTAATCAAGTGGGAGATTTGAAGAAAATAGAAGGTATTATGGATAAGAAAATGTATCACAGCATCTTGCAGCGACACGCTATCCCGTCTGCATTACGTTTAATTGGTGATGGGTTCCATTTTCAAGAAGATAACGATCCCAAACACTCTTCAAAACTGTGTAGAAATTATTTAAGTAAAAAAGAAGAGAATGGAGTATTAAAAAGAATGATATGGCCTCCTCAGTCGCCAGACTTAAATCCAATTGAATTATTGTGGGACGAGCTAGATAGACGAATACGGAAAAAGCAGAAAGCAAAACAAAACCTTTCCGAATTATGGAATGCCCTTGAAAGCAGCTGGAACTCTCTTGACCGTACTGTGCTTGAAAAATTAGTGTTAAGAATGCCAAGAATCTGTAAAGCTGTGATTAAAGCCAAAGGAGAATTTTTCGACGAATCAAAAGTTTAATATTTTTTTTTGTTTGCTTGTAAATATATAATTTATTGTTCTATTATTGAGTCTAGTTTCATATTTTTGTTGAATGTTCAAAGATTTCTAAGAGTTGTGATTTCATTGTATATTTTGTTGTGCAAACTATATTTAAAATGTAATTATATACGTACCATACGACATTGATTACGTTAATCCAAATGTTATAATGCTAAAATTATAATTTTAATAAATATGCTTGAAACAAAAATGTTTTTTTTTATTTAATACTCCGTAATAAAAAAAAGGCAGCGATTGACTTGTCGTAGTAAAAATTTAACAACAAAAAGACTTAAAATTTTTTTGAAAAATACTTGCATATGGCATTTCGCAAGTACTTTTCATATCTGCTTTCCGTTTTTTTCCAACTTTATTACTAAAAAAACTGTAGCTGGTTGAACAAAAATCAAAAAATTGTAAAAATTGTAAAATTGCTTAAGGGTCTCACAGTCTCAAAAACGGCATAAAAAATAATTAATAACACAAAAAGGAAGCTTTTAAGGAGTACTTTCCAATAATATTTTTAAAAAAAATTTCCGACAAATATTGAAGAAGATATGCGCGTGAGAAGTCAGAGCAAAAAATGGATTCCCCATCCAAAATTAATGGACGGTACTGTATATGTGCGTGAACCCATTTATGTTAACAATTGACTGAATTTACTTCATCAGTCCATACAATTTTTTTGTAATTGATATGTTGAAAATAATGCATTTTTGTTAAAATATAACATTTTTTCAATATTGGCCTATCGATAGCTTGGTCCAGAGGGCTCATTGGATGGAATCTTTCGAAGGACCTTCTTTTTTATAAAAAAGATGACACCTCACAAACTTTCATCAAAATTTACCAGGCAGAAGGTTGACTGTCCTTTTGTTAGTGGCCATTATAGCGTTCAATATGAATGCAATTTTTGAAGCAAAATATTTAATATATTAATAATTTATAGTATTTAGCATAAAAATTTATTGTGTAGAGACGTGGTAATGTTGTGTTAATTATTTGTTATATTTTTAATTTAGACTCCAGAAAATTGGGATGTAATGAATATTCTTCATACTAATGCATCTCAGGTGGCTGCTCTGGATCTTGGTTATGTTATTTCTTTAGACGATGTCAAGAAAAGTCAACCGAAAGTTCTTTTTCTTCTCGGTGCCGATGATAAGTCTATCCAAAAAGAAGATTTTAATGGAACCTTCATCGTTTATTTAGGTAAGCTGAAATGATCTGAATGATGAAAAATTTAATCACATTCCCCTGCTTTATTTGTAATGTGATTCAAGATATTCAAAGTAACATGCACAATAATAGGAGTAAGTTAGAATCTTCCTTGTACTATTAATGAATTATTTGATTACGTGGATATTGAAGGCAATATACGGCAGTCCTAAACGAAAATAAAGTTTGAAATCAAATCTAGTAAATTTAGTAGATAGTATTTTTTCTTATAAAAAAACCAATCAATAACCGTAAAACATTATTCGTAATTCGTATCTGATCATTTACCATTTTTTTTCGAAAAATACGGATTTTTTAAATAAACACTCAATTTTAAATGAAATAAATATAAATAATTACACAGACACATACATATATACATATATATAATAATATAATTATATATATGTATATATGTATAATAATTATAAAAAAAATTGTATACGTACAAAAAGGGTTTAAATGTGACCTGAAAAAATTGTCCAACTGCTTTTTTCAAAAGACTTATGTATACAGGATTTTCCATTAAATTTATTAAAAAATAAAAAATTCTCTATGAATGGACTCTCCACTTTGTTCTGACCATAGTCCAAGTCCATATTTATCACCGAGTAAAGTCAAACATTGTTTTAAATATTCCAACAAAATATGTAATTTGAGAGTTTTGGACACGTCAATTGCCAAAAGTTCTTTTCGAAATTCTTCAATCAGTTGTTCTAAATTCTTTGTTTCATCTTTTATTGTTTTGAAACAGCAATCTACAATTTTGTTTATAGCTTTAAAAGTTACAACGAAGGAAATGATAAAAGTTTTTCCAATATCATTGAAAATTTGAGGATCTGTTAATTTATCAGCTTGTTTCAAAAGTTTTTTTACATTGATCACTTTCGAATGCCCCTACTTAATAATTTTTGGATACAGCATACAACTTTTTTGCCAAATCAAAGCTTTTTCATTACCTAAGAGAGGTACCAGTCCATTTCAAAAGAGTAGATTAACTACTCTTTGCATCATGTACAATTCGGGATGATACATTTTTGAAACACGTAAATATCATCTTTGTAAAAAATTGATTTATTAATTGTACTGCCATTTAATTTACTTTGATTTTTATCTCTTTTTTTAAGGAACAAATTTATCATAATCTTTTTTAATATTACCATGTTTTTAATTTTTTGTTATTAATAGTAGACCTTCGTGGGAAACACGTAACCATTTGGAGCCGAAAATGAGTCAATTAAACGTCTTAACTCTGTAATGTGGTACCTTACAAGGCTTTGCCTGAAAGTGTTGCACTATTTGGAACACCTCAGAGAAGCCATCCCCGTCCCTTGCCGCCCCGTAACCAGTCAAATAATATTGCTTTACTCGCGCCCTAACAGAATACGTACTTTATTTTCAAATTCTCCCTGCCACGAATGGTAAAACGGTGCAACAAGTAAAACAGCGCTATCTTTTCTAAATTGTATATTGACTAATGATGGGAATATTCGGAGGGTGCAACCGATATCTGTATTATCAGTCTACTGCTGATGTGCTTAAATATCTTGCTATCGTTGAGAACGATTCCAGTGCCGGATTAACTATGGGGCTAGTAGGGGCTAGAGCCCCGGGCTCCTGAAATCCTAGGGGCCTCTTACTCTCGAAAAATATAAACACAAATAAAGAATATGAGACAAAAAATTGTACGATACCTATAAAAAATTTTTTTTATTAGTGTACTCGACTTTTTAATTCTATAAACGCTGGATTCGATTATTGTTTTATGAAAAATTTTTTCGTTAAATTAATGCCAGTAAAAAAATTTTTTTCTGCAAAAATGTTCACATTATATTATATATTTACTCGAAATTCTATAGGCATCTTGCATATTTTTAGAATGTACAAATAGTATATGCTTGAATTAAGTTTTTAAATTGGTTTCTTGATGTATTAGAAAAACGTTATTTCTTTAGTTTCAGCTGCATATTTACAAGATTAGGCGTTTGGAAATCGTTTACTTTAAAATGAATAGTATTTCAGATCAAAGTTTCTGAAAATGTAACACATTACATATACACCGAAACTATTATAGTATTTGTCAAAACTGACTGAAAAGTAATAAGACTATGTTGTGAGGTCAAATGACGATGCGAGAGGGTTGCTTGTTTTACACATTTCGCGGAAAAACAAAGGAATTTTTTTCGACATGCCTGCCATGGGGAGCTTACCTACTATCAATCGAGAGCAAGTTGCAGTCCGAACAATTACTTTTTTCTTTTCTGTCTATGTTTATAAAATTTTATACTGAAAGTGACAAAATAGTTGTTTTTTTCTCTAATGTATTCATTTGTGAAGGGTTATTATGCCTCTTTCTGGTGCTGCTAAAATAAAATTACAAAATGCTAGAGAAGCAGCAATTAAGAAGCTGCCTAGTGTAACAAAATATTTTCCACTCCCTCAGTCTGCTATTAAGCAAAATCAGGTAGGATAACCAACTGAGGATATATTTCATGCAGTTATGTCATAAATCGATGCAAAAACAAAAGATATCATTTACAGTGCATTTGTATAGAAAATATAGCTAATGATGCATCTGTTTCCAATACCACTGAAGAAGGGTCAATTCAGACTAAACTAGTTAATGATGAAAATATGAGTACAAACATTCATGTAAATTTACGTACTGCTGAAAATGCGTTTACGGTTTTAAGATTGAAGATGAGACTAATGAAGGTATATTCAAGCTATTACATTATTAATAAATATCGTGCTTATGAATATTCTTTATATAGTATTATATAATTATAATACTTTATGACTACTTTCAAAATATAAATATATTCGTTGAAGTTGAAGAAATAAACGATAATTCCAATTTTAAATGTTACTTTAAAAATTAAAAAATTGATATGTCAATATTCTTTGAGATTAATTTTTAATTTAGTAATAATTTTTCAGCGGACGAGGAGAAAGATCCTGCCTTGTGGCCTCTGAAATTATGTGAGAATAGCCATGAGCGTAATAAATATTTACAGAATGATTGTTCTTTCTTTTAAAATAAAAACTCTAGTTTCAAAACATCGAAATGAACATATAAAAATCAAAATCGATATTTTTCGTCAAATTTTTTTGAGAAAAATCTTTAGAATGGTGAAAAATGTGAGAGGAAATGGCTCATGTTTTCTGAATCAACTGGAACGGTTTTTTGTTATTTTTGCAAGCTATTTTCATCAGACTGAAAATCCTTTTGTGAAAAATGGATTTTGCAACTGGAAGAAAGCAAATGACTATATTTGTTCTCATGAAAATAGTAAGGAACACTATAAGTGTATGGTGCAATATTTGGCTTTATCCTCGACAAATGTTTGCATAGACAAAAGTACGCTTGAAGCATTTGAAACTGAATTGCAATATTGGTACCGAGTTCTATCAGTCGTAGGATTCCTCGCTGAAAGAGGCCTTCCATTTCGTGGAACAGACGAAAAAATCGGTTCACCAAACAATGGAAATTTTTTAGGAATTATTGAAGTGCTTGCCGAATATGATCCGTTTATACAACAACATATCAAATTATGTGCAAATAAAGGTTGTGGAAATATTTCATACTTATCGAAAACTACTTACGAAAAATTTGTAGACGCTCTGACTAAAAAGTGTTGTAGTAAATTATAAATGAAGTAAAAAATGCAAAGTATTGGGGACTTGTGTTGGACTCAACTCTGGACATATCGCATGTTGACCAATTATCGGTGGTAGTTCGGTATTATCTCAATGATCGTGTTTATGAACGCTTTGTTGATTTTATACCCATTAAAAGTCACAAGGGCAGGTCAATATTAAAAGATGTAATCACATTGTTAGATAGGGACTCTATTGAATTGGGAAATTGCCGAGCACAGACATACGACAATGCTTGCAATATGTCTGGTGAATACAACAGAATCCAAGCTTGCATATACGAAGAAAATCCCTTAGCATTTTACGTCCCTTGCACTGGCCATTCATTAAACTTAGTTGGAGAGTGTTGCGTAGAGTCGTGCCTTATTGCCATAAATTTTTTTGGTATTTTGCAACAGTTATATGTATTTTTTTCTGTTTCAACTGGCCGGTGAAAAATATTAGTGGATCTAGATGCGATTTTGAAAAACTTATTGCTGACAAGATGGTCACGCCGATCAGATGCTTGCAGTACTTTAATGAATAATTTTGAAGGAATCTACAAGACTTTGGAAAAAAATAGCAAATAACATAAATCAGAAGTCGGTAGTACGCAACGAAGTTTCGGCTTTAATGAAACACATCACCGGGCTTGAGAACGCATTCATGACTGTTTTTTGGGACTGTGTATTAAATCGTTTTGATGTCACAAGTCAATACCGGCACAAAGTCGATGTCGATTTGATTTCTGCCAGTCGGACGCTTTCGTCTTTAGTTGACTTTATCCAGAATATGCAAGAAAAGTTTTCCGAGTTTGAAGATAAAGCTAAAACACTCAGTTCATTAGTAAAACAAGAATACTCTGACAACGCTAAGCGTAAAATTACCAAGAATCTAGCAGACGATGGAGTGCAAGCTTGTATTCTATCTGGATCAGATAAATTTTGCATATTATTACGTTATAATAGACAATCTAGTCTTTAAATTGCAAGAACGATGTGCAGCTTACAACCACATCACTGAATTGTTTGGTTTTCTTCTTCATTTGTTGGATATGAGCGAAATGATTTACAAATCAAAGCAAATAAACTTGTTGAAGTTTACGCAAATAATTTATATGAGAAATTATTTATTGAGTTGAAGCAATTTATTCCACTTTTAAATTTGCGAGAGAGGTTTTTTTTTCAAGACGTTCCAAAGAAAGTGACAAAAAAAATGACAAAATAATAAGTCCTTTGAAAGTATTGAACTGGATAGCTGATAATGACATGATTCTAATTTTTCCTAATGCCTACATTGCATATAGATTACTACTGACTATTCCAATAGTTAATTACGAGACAGAAAGGTCATTT